CAGAACATAGTTTGAAATCACTAATGTAGATCATGGGTCAATAAAGTTTTTCTGTAAAGGTCAAGATAGTAAACATTTTTTAGGCTTTGTGGGCCATAATGCACCATTCAACTGAGCCATCTAGTACAGAAGCAGCTACAGATAACATATATTTGGGATGAAAATGAGTCCATGAAATATTTAGTGAAAGAAGCAGGTTATAAAGCAACAATACTAATAGAATGGTTCATGCTTGAGTTTTCTATGCGCCAATCACTGTGCAGCATGATTTATGTGAATTATCTTGTTTAATTCTCAGAACCACTGTATGACATAAATGCAATAATCTTCAATTTACTGGTGGAGAAGCAGCGGCCTAGATGGGTTAGATAACTCGCCAGTAAGATATGCAGCTAGGATCTGAAGCCATGCAGTCTAGCACCAGGGCCTGAACTTTGAAATGCTCCGCTGCATCGCCTTTTATGTTTACCTATGTATACTTACGTAAGCCTAAGAAGGATCTGGAAGGTTATACACCAGAAAGTAAAAGGATTTTCTTTGTCATATGGAGATGGGGGGAAGGGAGGCAGCTGATATATAAATAAGATTCTAAACATTTTTTATAATTCTTCCGTATCATCAGAAATTAGATACTTCCATTAATAATAACACCACTAAATGAGGCGGTAGGACTTTTTATTTCTAAAGACCTGTCCAGTTCTAACGTTCTAGGCTTCCTCTAGCACCTGGCATCTCTGGAAGTGTCTGGTCTGAGGAAGAGGTGAGGGTGGGAGGCTCTGGGGCAGTCTCCTGGCTCTGGAGGGGAATTTGTTAGTGACTCCAGCCTTTAGCCTTAGGCCTCTCCCCTGAGCCCTTCCTACCACCTCAATGGCTTTTCTGGCCTCTCTAATTACTAGGAACAGAGAGAGAATCAGAGCTTCTGTTTAGACCCCCCCATAGAAAGGAGTCAGACACCCACAAATGGCAGCCTCAGTGAGGGCTGTTTCCAAATGGGACGCTGAGACGGGCCGTGACGAGCAGAGCAGGGCCCAGGTCTGATGTTGGGTGTGGTCTTGCCGACAGTCCTTTGACAAAGCGGCAGGGTTCAGAGACACCTTCTCAAGGACGTAAAATACAGTACGGGCACTGACTGAGCGCCAACCACGTGCTGGGTGTTTGTCCCCAATGCCTGTGAAGGAGATGCCATCGAGGAGGAGAGACTGAGTGACCTGCCCAGGTTCCCTCTGTTTGGTGACTTGTGCTCTCTGGATTCAGTCCGGCTTTTCCGTGCTGAGTCAGAAACCGTGTGAGCTGGATCGGTGGGGCCCAGAACTGCTTGCCCTTGGCCATGTTTTCTCAGTTCCCACTATCCAAAGGGCAACAAACGGGAAGTGATCTGGTAGCTGGTAACTCCGGCTCTGCCCCTGAGGAAGGGCTGAGGGAGGGCATTTGGAGTATTTCTTGTGGGGTAGAGCAGAGGAGTGGTTGGGTGGTGGGGAGGGGAAAGGGGGAGAGCGTTTGCCTCTGAGGAACCCCCATGGGGAAGGGCTAGACGGATGCCCCACATGACAGGACAATCCCAGCCCAGTCATGAGAAGTGCCAGGGTGGGTTCAACACCAGCATTTCCCCTCACAGGGCTGTCCAGGGTAGAGCAAGCTGCTCCTGGCACTCTCTCAGCAGTGCTGGGCAGGCCGAGACTAGGGGCCACCGGACAGAGGGAGGGGATGTGCACATAGGCTGGATGACCAGCTATGTCTTCTCCTTCCCTAAGATCCTGCAGTGATGACCACAGTAGCAAAGCTGGGCACCCTGTGTGCACACATTCACTCCAGTCCAAGAAGCTAGTTGTTATTATTCCCGTTTTACAGATGAGAAAACAAGATCCTAGACAGTTAAGCAACTTGCCCAAGCTCACACAGCTGCTGAACAGCAGGGCTGGGACTGAACTCAGCATGCAGAGCTGCTTTCTTATCCAAGATACAGCCTGCTTCTAGCTGCTGGGCTCTCACTTTCTAAAAGGATTAGGATGCCAGGAACCCCATGATAAGAAGACCGATGGCAGATAACATCCCTACTTCCAGGGCCTTTGATGTTTTATTTCAAGGCTCCAGGCCACAGCCGTGAGATTTGCAGACCTCCCCCCTCTTAGGAAGCAGATTAGGAAACTTGTCCACTTAAACTATGTGGCCACAGCCCCTAAAGACATGGGATCTAAAAGCAGCTCCAACGGACACTCCCCAGAAATTACAGACTTGGATTTTTTAAGACTGGCACCAATTAAAGGAGAGGGCCACGTCCTGAACAACAACCGCTCACCTCCCACACAGTGCCGTGCCCAAGGCTTCATTTTTACTTTTCACAGTTTGCCAGGGTTGAAAGGATCGAGATCTGAATTTTTCCGTTTTCAAACTTTATGTGTAGAATGCCACCATCAAGCATTAGGCACATAATGGATCTTATTTCAGTCACAGTAGTCACCTGGGGTAGCTACTGTCATAATCCCCACTTTACAGATGAGAAAACTGAGTTACACAAAAGAATTGGTGACTTTTCCAAGGTCACATTGTTATTAAGTGGTGGAAGCATAATCTGAATTCAGATCTGCTGAAGCCGGAGCATGGCTTAATGTTGCTGGGCTAGTCCACTGACTCCTGGGGACCAGACAGGATGGAATGAGATTAATGTGAGGGCATGAAGGCAATTGTTCCCCAAATGGCAGTTATTACACATCCATCAAATATTCCCTCAGTGCCTGACCCTTGGAGACAGGAAAGACACGTGGACCAAGAGCTTTGCCACAACACTGAAGCTGGTGGGATAAATGCTGTGAGGGCGAAGAGGAGAAATAAATTACTTCCAGTTGTGGAGAGGTTTCACGGGGGGGCCCTGGTATGTAAGGGAGGGAGAGGAATCTGTACACGGAGACGAGGCCAAGGCCGTAGCCGAGGCCGGGAGGCGGCTGGAGGGAGTCATTCCACACACAGGGAGGCAGCGTGAACAGCAGGGAGAGATCAGGGAGACACTGGAGGAGCGGGCTGGGGAAGGTGGGCTGGGGAAGGTGCCGGGGGAAGCACACATCTGCTCCCACTCTCGCCCTGCAGAGGCCCTCGCTCCGCTGTGATCTCATTTGCTCCAGAGCAGCCAGCTGGGCTGCTGGCAGGCGTGGGAGCTTCCCCAGCTCCTCTGGGGCCTCAGCTGGAAACTTGGATTTAGAGAAGAGCAGAAGGAAAGGAACTCCTCCCAGGGCCACTTGTCCCAAGAGACACCAGTGTCTCAACCCTCAGGCGTTCCCAATGGGCCAGCCAGCCTGAAGCAGGTCTCCTGGGGAAGCTGTGAAATGGAAAAACTCCTCAAGTTCCTATTCCTAGAGCCCTCAGGAACAGACTTCCCCAAGGATGCTTAAACCCAAAAGACACTGCCATCTTGTGGCAGAGAAACCCAGACACCATGAAGGTTGGGAGAGTCCCTGTGCCCCAGAGGGACCACAATGGCAGAAATGGCTGACTTGAACTCATTTCATAATGGAACCAAAATTATGCTGGCACACAGATTAGAGTAAAAACCAAGTCTTATTTCTGGCTGCCAGGTTCCCTGAGGTGCAGGTGTTGTGTATTGTGCAGATGAGGAGACTGACTCTGAGAGAGATTAGGTGACTGGTCCAAGGAAAAAGGTGGCCAAGTACAGAGCCAGGTCTTACCCCAGGGCCCCCAATCACTGCCCAATAAACAGTTAATGGTTAAAGTGTGATTCTCAACATGTGGTCCCCAAGACCTTTCAGAAGGTACACGAGGTAAAAACTATTTTCATAAGATGCCTTTTTCTTGCTTACAATCGCACAGTGAAATTTCCAGTCTAAATGCTGTGCAATGACCTCATCTCGTCCTGATGGCTGACGGGATGCATGTTTGTGTACACTTGTGTTTCAGAAATTCCTGTTTTAATTTATAATATGACACGGCCCATATACAACCAAAAGCCCTTTGAAATACTCAATTTTTAAGAGTATACATAGTATAAACAGGCCTTAGGATAAAAGTTTGAAAACTGCTAGTTTAAAGAAATATTAAAAGAATAAAGTTACACAAACTGAAACATTCCCTTTGTTTTGATATAAGTGAACCAACTCTATGCTGTGAAGCACTAATTTTTAAGTTGATTTGAATCCTAATTTTTAGGCTGACTGAAATTGTACTTGACATTTCTACGGATCTTTGATTAGTGAAACACGCAAAAAACACATGTGAATAGAGAATGTTTACTGAGTGGTTTCTTGCGGGAAAGCTCTACTCTAAGTGAGCTACACGTGTCACCTCATCTAATCCCACAACCACCATCTGCAGGAGATGCTATTATCACATTTTGTCCTGTGGACACCAAGGGGATAAGTGGCCCAGGTGAGAGGTACTCGTGCTTGGACTCTGTTCCAGGCAGTCTGTCTTCACTGCCTCTTCCCACTCTTAAGATTTGACATTCACTTGATAGTACAAAAGTTTTTCAAAATATGGAGTCTAAGAAAGTAATGAAAAGAAATAAAATCACCAATCTGACCCAACACTTTCACTTTATAGGTGAGGAAAAGTGAGGCCCAGAAAGGGTAAGTGATTTGCAAAAGATCACCCAGCGGCCCGGCCGGGCGTGGCTCAGTGGTTGAGCATCGACCTAGGATCCAGGCGGTCGGGGTTCGATTCCCGGTCAGGGCACATGCCCAGGTCGTGGGCTTGATCATTGACTCTCTTATCATTGATGTTTCTGTCTCTGTCTCTCCCTCTCCTTTCCTCTCTCTGAAACCAATAAAGATATATTTAAAAAAATAAAAATAAAATAAAATAAAATAAACCTTTAAAAAGAAAAGAAAAAAAAAGATCACCCAGCAAAGAATCAAAATCCACTGGGCTTCTTACCCCCAATCAGCAACTCTCAGAACTCCAACCCAAGTAAACTTTGCAGTTATTGCCTTCATAGCAACGTGAGACATCACAGCACAGCGTTTAAGCAAGTGACATCAGGACAACATAACAGAAACATCAACAAAAGCAGTTCGATTTTATTGCAGGGAAGCTACGGAGGAGCAGGGAAGTGAGGGTCTCCGTAGGAACACCCAACGTTGAGCAGCATTGCCGGGTTCCAGATCTGTCTGGAAGGCAGGAGAGGATCAGGGCCCTGGAAGAGACGAGACGTTAGGTGGGACAGAGGCGCCATCTACTGTGCACACGGAAGCATTGCAGAAGCAGTCAAGGTTCACTAAGGGAGTTGGGGGAGGTGAGGTGGGAAACCGGGGGCTGGGGGAGACCTAAAAACCCAGCGTCTAGCCCTGCTCACTGCTTCCAAGCCTGTTACTCTCAGCCTGACCGGGAGCCAGGAACCTTGCTAAGACAATCACCGCCGAGGCCTCTTCTGGGGAACTCCCAGGGCTGCTGGACAGCACTCCCTGTCCAGTTTCAACTTACACTGGGAAGACAATGAACAAAATCATGGGCAAACAAATCTGCCAAGAGCCAATGGTCAAGGTGACTTTATAACCAACATTCTAGCTCTGACCCCCAAACCTGGATTGATATGTTATTGAGGGGGCCCTTAAAACAGACTGAGAGACAGATGAGATGCTGCCTGGGTGTGTAGGGCAAAGCGCTTAAAAGGTGACTTTCACCCAGAGCCATGACCTAAATCTCAGAGAGCCTTCCCATACTACACATGGTTACAGACATGTGTGCAGATAAAATTATATTATGTCTAGAATGTTTGCGAAACAATATGGGGGTGAGGGGAATGGCCCATAGATGAAACAATGAAGGCAGTGACTGAACAATTATTGGATCTGGGTGATGGGTACCCGGAGATTCATTTTTACTTGTAGATNTGATGTTTCTACCTCTCTCTCTCCCCCTCTCCTTTCCTCTGTCTGAAATCAATAAAGATATATTTTAAAAAATAAATAAATAAAATAAAAATATATATATTTATAAAAAAAAAAAAAAAAAAAAAAAAAGGCAAGCCCTGGCTGGTGTGGCTCAGTTTGTTGGGCGTTGTCCTGTGCATCAAAAGGTTGCCTGTACAATTCCCGGTCAGGGCACATGCCTGGGTTGCAGGTTTAATCTCTGGTAGGGGAAGTGCAGGAGGCAGCTGATCGATGTTTCACTCTCACATCGATGTTTCTCTCTCCCCATCTCCCTTCCTCTCTTTCTAAAAATCAATTAAAAACAAAAAGCCAAAATAAATACTACTATAAGAATTGTCCAGCCGTAGAAAGGAATGAAGTACTGACTCATGCTACTGCTTGGATGAATCCTGAAAACATGATGCTAAGTGTAAGAAGCCAGACACAAAAGGTCACATATTGTGATTCCTTTTCTATGAAATGTCCAGAATAGGTGAACCCAGAGCGGCAAAGAGCAGATTAGTGGTTGCCAGGAGATGGAGGAGGGGGCGCAGTGGGGAGAGACTGCTTAATGGGTATAGGGAAGTTTTCTGGGGTAATGAAAAAGTTTTGAAACTTGGGAGAGGTGGTAATGATACAACGCTGTGAATACACTAAGTGCTGATGAATGATATACTTGGAAATGGTTAACTGCGTGCTATGTGAATTTCACCTCAATTTAAAAAAATACTATAAGAAAAACATTAAGTCAAGCATGGTTTACCACTGGCAGATATTAGTTTTTTAGTTAAAATTCACATGCCTAGGCCAAGATTCCAATTCAGCGTCTGCACTGGGGCTCCCCCATGTGTATAACCAGCTCAGGGAGTTTTTTGTCTTCCTTCCTTTAGCCCATTCCTTTAATCAGAGCAACCCCCCCCTAAAAAAAACCCTAGGGATGCAGCAATAATGGTGAACACCAATCTACAGCATGCTGGGGCCATCAGCCTCTCTTTGAGGGATCTCACAGTGATCCCCACCAGGCAGGAAAGCAGGGGAGAGGTAGCAGCCCCATTTTTATAGATGGTAGGGTGGAGTCTCAGGCATGGAAGCAGAAGTGCCCAAAGTCATGGTGTAAAATGAGGGCAGGGCTGGGACCAGAACCCTGGGATTCCAACTGTGCGTCCTGTGCTCATCCTGAATGTGGGCAGTATCCACAGACAGAAAAGGGGGCAAGGAAAACAGGTGCATCTGACATCATCTGCATGTTAGGTCACTATATACACAGGACCCTGCCCTTGCTCAGATTCCAACAGACACCGCTGGGAAGGAGGCTATACTCATGGCGGATGGACATGGCCCTGGTCAGTTGTGGCTGGCCACCTCTGCCTGGAAGGCTCTCCATGGGCCCACTCGGGACAATGCCACCAGCCATTACAGAATTCTGATTCAGGATGCCCGACTCTCCTCCTGACTCTGCCACTCACCTGCGTGGGGCTTCAGTCACGCCACTTCCCCTCTCCGGGCCTCATTTTCCTCAAACATAGTGAGAACACAGGGATGTGACCATTACTGCTGTTCACACAGCAAATGCACTACCTGGAGAGTAGCAGCCAGGAGGGCTGTGCTGTGCGGTGAAGGATTCTGAAACTGTGGCTGGGCACAGAAGGAATGCTGGATGGGTGAGTACGATCTGCCCAGTTCCCTAGTGAAGGGTGCTGACACAGTGCCTCTTATTTGCCTCCTGGATTACACGGAATCAATGGGAATATCCAGCTTAGACACTCAACTATTTTGCACCAGTCCGAATTAACTCATCTGGTCAGCGCATGAGGCCCAGGGCATAGGTGTTAGCTCTGATGGGACAGGCAGCTTATCAAAGCAAAAGGACACTGCTCAGGGTCATTGCTCTAAGCTTAAAGCTGGCCGATCATGAAATGCACTCCTTATAAAAGAGGCTCTGGGAGCCCTGGCCTGTGTGGTTCAGTTGGTTGGGCTTCATCCTGTGCGTCCAAAGGTTGCCAGTTCAATTCCTGGTCAGGGTGCATGTCTGGGTTGCAGGCTCCATCCCCAAGAGGGGGCGTGCAGGAGGCAGCTGATTGATATTTCGCTCTCCCATCTATGTTTCTCCCTCCCTTTCCTTTCCTCTTTCACTAAAAATCAATTTTTAAAAAATCTTTAAAAAGTGACCCTGGGAGACATTATCATTGTGCAATCTCTACTCACAGGGCAATGCAAGGATTCCCTGGACACGTGATTTGCATTAGATAATGAACTATTCTGTTGAAGTGCTGGGGCCTCACCCACCTGCCTCCTTTGGTCTATCACTCAGACCGATGTAAGTTACCGTCTTCCCTGTTTTCCTCAGGGTCTCCAACAGAGTGTCCACGCTGTGCTCAGAATCGATGTAAACCTTTTTGTTGGGCAGGTCGATCTCAGACTGAACTCCTGCAGGAAGAGGAAGTGGGGTGGGGGTGGGGGACAGTGGAAGCAGAGACCCTCACAGTCAGAGCACGAAAGAATTCAGGCTCTAAATTCTCATTCACAACTGCTCTTCCCCCTTCCTCTAGACCAGGGATCGGGAAACTTTCCCTGTAAGGCTGTAGCCTGCTCATCCCTGCTCTAGACTAGGGCACCTTTTAAGTGTCTTTTTTAACTGCAAAAGTAACAGGGACACACCATTAAAAAAAAAGGCAAACTTTTCTGAATAAAATTGGGAAGGACAAGGCCCCTACCTCTTTTCAACTTCTAGAGATCACTGCGAACAGTACGACATTATCCAGTCTTTCTCCCTGATAGACAAATGAAAAATAACTCTCCCAAATGGCATCATACTATACAAACAGGTCTTGCTATATTTCACTTTCCAACAACCAGGATATCTTGCCTCCTTAGCACATACAGACTTCATTTTTTTTTTTTAACAGCTACACTGTGTTCCATAGTGTGGATGTACCATACACCTACTCGATCCCCTGCTGAAGGACAATGAGGTTTTTCCCTCTTACTGCAACAATAATACAGGAAACATACTTGAACATATCTTCTAAAACCTGTGAAAATACTTGTCTCATGAATTCACAGAATGGAAACTAGCGGGCAACAGACTGGAACCTTTCCTTTGTTAACTGACATTGCAAAATTGCCCTCTTCAAGGGCTGTGCCAATTTAAAGCCCGCGAGCCCGGCTGGTGCGGCTCAGTTGAGCATACTCCCATACACCAGGAAGTCCCTGGTCCCATTTCCCAGGCAGGGCACATGCCCATGTTGTGGGCTTGTTCCCCAGTAGGGGGAGTGCAGGAGGCAGCTGACTGATGATGTTTCTCTCTCTCTTCCTGTCTAAAAATCAATAAAAACATATTTAAAAATAAATAAATAAAGCCCTGGCGCAGCACATGGGAGTAAGTAGAATGGGTCTTGTTGAGATGAGAGAATGCAGAGGGAAGGCCCTTAATAGGTTCTAGGTGTGGCTTCACCACTGACTTTCCAGGCCCTGCCCATTATAGGCCTCAGTTTCCCCATTCATACTGAAGAAGTTGGGGTTGGCCAGTCCCTATGGTCTTTCCAAGTTAAAATATGCCATTAATCTGTGATTCCTCAGGCCAAGGACTGCTCATTGGGGGCCCCAAACAACTGGAAACCCTTCTGACCCATCTCAAGAAGCCACCCAAGTGGGGGATAGTAGTGAAAGATGGGGAGAAACCTGCCCAAATTCAAAGGCAGATCCCCAAGCATCAGTCAAGGGACCTCAACAATCACATGGCACAAGGTTTATCATAATGTCTGAATTTGTATCTAATGGATACCTGGGGTGGGTGTGTGCTACAGTGTAGACGTGCTGCATTCTGGGCTTCTGTCTTTTGGTTCATAAGTGTCTCCCTCCTCTTTGAAATAAATATTTTGGTGAGGTAATAGAAGCTCTGGGACCATCTAGCACAGTGGTTTTCAAATTGTGCTTCTTGCAGCCCAGGTTCCTGCACAGGTGTCCTCAAGCTGTCCAAAAGAAGACCCACCCTCATCTCATCCAGACCATACTCAAAGTATCCACAGCAAAAGCAGATTCAGACTGACATTCCCATATTAAAGCTGGGGAAATACAGGCCTTGAGGAGAAGAGGCCACGGTCACATGACAGGTCAGGAGCCAGGTTCTTTCCACTGATTCTTTCAAATTAAGATTCTAGTTAATAGAACTAGAAACCAGCCAGTGGCTCACTGTGGGAATTTGAGCAAGTCACTTCCCTTTGGGGCACTGGTGTCAACATCCCCATTCCACAGGTGGAATGCACAGCTCAGAAGACTTGCTTTAACTGCTAACCAGATCACTTCTATACGGAAGCCCTTGGGAAATTGGGTGCTATTATTACCTAGGGTTTTAAAAATGAAAATCTTAGAAAACTGACTGCCCCAGCACTACAAGAATTCTGATCGCTGCTCAGTCATTATTACCTCTTGGAGCCCCAGGGCCAGCCCTCAGCCCTCTCTGGGCCTCAGTTTCCCCAGCTGAGAGTTGAGGGGGCTGGATGAGAATAATGGTTTCCTAAATATGTCCAAAAGAGGTGCTTTAGGAGTTCTACATATAAATGATTCAAAGTTTATTTTTTAAATTGTAACAATTTAATAAAAAATCTTAATAGAAAATAACACTCAAACATGTCCTATAACATTAGTGATCCCACTGGAGATTACCAACATACTGACTAGTACTGACAGGGCTCTGGAGCAAAGTGCAAGGTCAAATCCCAGCTCTGCCACTTACTGGCTGTGTGATCCCAGTCAAGCTACTCAACCTCTCTGAACTTCAATTCCCTCCTGCTATAATGGAGATAGTCAAAGAAACTACCTAAATGGTTGTGAGGATTAAATGAAAGCCACTAAGCAGAGTACTTGGCACATGCTAAGCACTCAACATATCTTAGTTTTAATGTTATCATCAGCTTTAACCCAAGCTTCTCCTGCTCCATGTCTGCATGCATTTGAACACAATATAAAGTTTATCGGTCTCCCCCACCTCACCCCCAACCGAGGTCCACTCACTCACCTCCTAGCTTCTCGAGGACCCGAGCGACTGCATTAGAGCAGCCTTCACAAGTCATTTCTACAGAGAACTCGTGCTTCTGAAACAAACAAAGGGGACCATGAGCCAAGTCCTGCAGAGACCCATACACCCTACCAGCATGCAGGCCCACTCAAGGGCCAAGACAGGGGGCAGAGACACAGGGCAAGATCTGGCTGTTGTCAGACTCACCAGTATCCTGTTTCTGGCCTCTCCCCTCTTCAATGATAAAGTGGAGTAACTAAGGATTTCTATATCACACAGGCTGCTGTATTAAAAGAGATAATCCCTATAACTCCTTTAGCAGTGTCTGGCACACAGTGAATTTAATCAGCTGGGAAGCTAGTTTAACGTGTTGGTTACTAGTGTGAACTTCAAAATCCTGACTCTTGAGCTATCTGAGGTTATGGGACTATGAGGACCATCAGCTCTGACATGGGTGGACACCCATCCTCGGAGCCATGCTGATCTGGTGGTCTTATTTATGCATCAGAAGATCACCGTTTGCATTAGAATCGCCAGAGAGCTTGCAAAAACTATAGGTTCTGATCTGCAAGTGTGGGCTAGGACGTCTACAACAGCTAGAAAGCGTCCTTGGTGATTCTGATATATAGTGACCACTATTCTTATCCAAATGCCTCATTCCTAGAGGCAGCCCCTAAAGCCTGGGAAGGGAGTGGATTTGCATGGGCTCCCAGTGAGTCAAAGGGCAGACCAATAAGGGAACCCAGGCCCCTGGCCACTTCATGCAGGCCCGACATCCTACAGTCTCCATGATATCCAACAAACTACGCTCCCAGAAGACAGAGGCTTTGTTCAGTAGTTCATTGCTGCATCCCCAACACAGGCACAGCTAGGAGATACTGCAAGTTGGATTCAAGACCACCACAATATAGCAGGTAGCACAATTAAGCAAGTTGTAATATTTTTGCTGGTGGAAGGGTGTTGTTTTTAATTTGTTAAAAACACACACACACACAAAACCCCCTCACAATATCTGTGAAGTGCAATAAAGCAAAATGCAAATAAAACCAGGTACACCTGTAGTTGTTAACAGACCACATAGTTGGTGAAGCCTAAGGTAGTTACTATCTGACCCTTTAAGAAAAAGTTTGCTGACTCCTGCTCCAGAACAAACAACAGATGGTCATGATGGGTCAATGCTTTGTACTTGTACACTCATCCCAAGCTTCAAAATGTTTTTATTGATTTTAGAGAGAGAGGAAGGGAGAGGGATAGAAAGATAGAAACATCGATGAGAGAGATACATTGATTGGCTGCCTCCTGCACATCCCCTACTGGGGATCAAGCCCCCAACCCAGGCATGTGCCCTGACTGGGAATTGAACTGGGGACCTCTTGGTTCATGGGTAGATACTCAACCACTGAGCCACACCAGCTGGGCCCCATCCTAAGCTTTAAAGGGTTTGCAAGACCGATATAAGACCTGAATCTACTGTGCGCTCACTATGTGCTAAATGTTCTTTATCTGGTATCTGAGTTAGGCCTTACCCAGCCTGGAAAGGGAGCTGGTCACCTTATTTTACTCAGGAAGAAACCAAGGTTCACAGTCAAGTGGCGAGTATGTGCTGAGGCTGGGATGTGAACCCAGGCTTTCCTGGCTCCAGGGACATCCTGCTGGTCTTGGGCCAGCAAACAGCACTGCCACCTGCCACCCCCCACAACCTGGACACTTAGCGGGAGCTCTGGGAACAGCTTGTGAAGTAGCATGAGTTTCTGCTGCCCAAGGACCTAAAGTGAACAGATACCTGAAGCTTTCTGCTGCAGACTACAGGTGGTGGGTCTCCTTCCATCCCCCACAGTACAGAGGTCAGAAGCCAGGAGGAAGTTTCTGGGTGGCAAACATTACAATTCAGTGTTCTCTTCCTTCACCTCTGAATTACAAAGTAAATCTGGGGGTGGTGGAGAATCTACTTGACGACAGAGTAAGCCATTCTTCACAGAGAATCCCAGCACCAGCGCACCCGAGTGCTTGACTGTGCAGTTCCAGCCCCGCAGAGCCTCTGCTCTATCGTGTAGAAAACGGGTCCTTTAAAGTTGATGAAAAAGCCCAATAACTTGTACAACTCTTTCATTGAGTCTAAGAACTGGAAAGGCGGGAACAGAGTGGGTCACATTGTCTAGGTCCTCTCAGAGAAGGAATTCTTTCTCAACTCTCCAGGACATTCAGCCTCTGATCACCCTGAGTCCTAGGAGTTTACTTCTAATAATGTTTGAGTGCCTCCTCTGTGCTAGACACTGTTCTAAGCACCATCCGTGAACTAAATTGTTTAATCATCACAACACCCCCATGAGTTAATCATTATTATGGTCCCTTCTTGGCAAATGAGGAAGTTGAGATTCAGAGCTTAGGCCGCTCAACGTGACACAGCTAGTGAGCAGCAGGGCCTAGACCAGACATAGTCTCCAAAGCCTAAACTCTTAATCACTGTGGACCTTGTTAAGATGGGGTTTGAAATCTGCCTTCCTGTAGTTCTACCCTACTTGTGCTAGGTCTACACAAGAGCTACCACTTCTTGTGGACTAGCTATGTCAGTGGCTATGCCAAATATTTTACTGGCATTTTTCCAGTTACAACTAACAGTCCTGGGAGGTCAGTTTTTATCCCCATTTTACAGCTGAGGAGATCAAGGCACAGAGAAGGAAAGCAGCTTAACTGAGGTCATCTGGTTGGCAAGCAGGAGCATAGCTTTTCAAACAGGTTTCTGAGATCCCAAGTGTTGGAGAAACCTCCCAGATGACAGTCCTCCCCTCCTCCCTCAGCTGTTCACCTCATGATACGGCGCCAAGTGCCAGCTTCATATTGATCATCTCTCTGAAGGGTCTTTTGTTTGTCTAAATCCCCAGAAGTGAACACAGAAGAGTGATCCTCAAGCTGGCCTTCCTCTCACTGTCAGGCCCCACTAAAACCTGGTGGCCTTCACTATCCAGTCCCAGGGTGATTAATGCTGTCCTCTACCATTGCCACAGGCAGACCTGCTCAACTGGGAGGGCTGATGCTGTCAGGTTCTTAGTGCATACTTTGTGTTGTCTGAGAATATATCTCAAGGCACCTGGCAAAACCTAAGGGAAATGACACCTGAGATGTTTGTGGTTTGCCCAGGGGGCCTCTGGCTCACCTGTCAGCTTCCCCAAAGTGAGGCTGCTAAGACACAGGGCAACTGTGAGACACCTCTGAGTACTCACGTGGGGCAGAGCTGCCAACTAGGCACCATCGGGGAGGGAAAGTGCTAAACACCACATAACCCAACCAGGATCTCTAGGATGAAACTTGGATCAAAGCTTCCTCCCCAGCCAGCGTGACTACTTTTGTGTGCACTTACCACACCCAGCCAGGCCAGGAGACTGGGAGTCTGAAGATAAGGGGATTGATCCTGGCTCCACCATGACCTTGAGTAAGTTATGGGTTTTTTGGGTTATTGTATTTCCAAAAGGCCTGAATTTCTTGGTGTTTTTTTTTTCCAAATTATAAGAGGAAGTTTATTTGGGAAGTTTAAGAGGTAGAAGTGAGTCATCTGGGCTGTGTAGGCTCAGGAAACAAGTTATAGAGGCAAAAGAAGGGCCCTAGGAGCTTAGGAGAGAGAAAGGCAAAGGCAGGACCCCTCTTACCCCCTGTGGGGAGGAAGAGAGGGAAGGGAGAGGCAGGAGGGCGCTCCAGAGGGGGAAAGTGAGCCAGGAGGCCTTAATTTTTTTTTTTTAAAGTTTTTAAAAAACTGATTTTTAAAGAGAGAGGAAGGGCGAGGGAGCAAGTGAGTTAAACATAGATGTGAGAGCAATATGTTGATCTGCTGCCTCCTGCACGCTCCCTACCAGGGATCCAACCCCCAACCCGCATGATGACCTGACCAGGAATCCAACAGGCAACCTTTTGGTGCAAGGGACGACCAGCCACACCAGCCAGGGCAAGGTTTTCATTTCTAATCTACAAAGTGAGGCCAGGAGCAACCAGGAATATGTGGAAAGACTGAGGGAGCTGCAGAGACTAGTGGAGACCTGCTCATTCCTCCCCAAACTCTGCCAGTGAGCAACTGGAGACTTTGGGCAGGTCCTTGAACTGCTCTGGGCTCATGGCTTCAGGTTCAGAAAGTGACGGGGAAAAGCACCGTCTCCATTCAGCCTCGCCCATCAATGACCCGAAATTTGGCCAGAGTGGACAGGGGAAGGGAAGGAAAACAGGGACCTCTGAAAACCTGCCCCATCTGTAAGGCACACACCCCCTCTACATACACACATACACCTCTATACACCCCCCCTGCTATACGTACACACACTATACATACACACAGCTCTATACACACACACACCTCTATACGCCCCCCCCGCTATACGTACACACACCACTATACATACACACACCCCCTCTACACACACACACCTCTATACACACCCCCCCGCTATACGTACACACACTATACATACACAGCACACAGCTCTATACATACATCCCCCCTCTACACACACACACACACACACACACACACACACACGGCCCCGGCCCGCCCCCACTCCCGCTGTGCCCCGGGCTGGCCGCGGCCCTGCTCCGGTCTCGGTTCCCCGCCTCTGCAGGGAAGGGCCACGCCGGAGGCCTCGCAGTGCCGACGACCCGAAGCCCGACTCCGACATGAGACCCTTTCGCAACCGCCTCTCGGGAGCGTCGCGGAAGCAGGGGCTGGGTGGGGAGGGCTGGGAGAGGCCTGAGCGCCGCAAGGGGGACATCCGGCCGTGC